GAACGCTCCTTGCTTTCTGAAGGGTTTGACCACCACAACGTTTAACTCGAAGTTGTGCCATCGCGTGATGGTGATCCCATTTAAAGTCCGTCAGCCATTCAACTTGTTACTCATTAATTGCCCAAAATGTTTTGGAAGGCCATAGACCCAGTCGGAGGCCCACAAAACCACTCAAAATGCACTTCTTCCTTGCCATCAGAAAGGAAATGTGACTTTAATGTGTTTTGGAAATGTCAACGTTTCGTGTAAATAAAACACATGATTCGCGTATTACGTCACCTTTCTATCTGTATTTGGGTGTGGGACTTTCTTGATTGACCTTCTATTCCATCTTGGTCAGTAGTTTTCGAAAAACTTCAAGTTACAGCAAACTGCAAAGCGATATACTGGCCATCAAGCACTCTTGACAACAATGTTGGTAGCCCTGAGACTAAAGCAGCTGTACAACAAGTGGGAGGAGACAAAAGTGCTCTTTACTAAAAGCAAAGCTTTGTGTCTGTTTTGTCATGCGTCTGTGCCACCAAATTCCATCAATTTGGCTTGCATGTGGGAGATGGAGTGCACAGTTGACGCCATCATTACCTAGAAAGTAAACACCTTTCTAGACGATGACACCGAATGGCTTATGTTCATGGCTAGAGTCACTTTGGATTCAAGCATTACATTCCACATCACACGATAAAGGAGTTGGTGGACTTAGGATTGCATTTTAGTCCTTCAATTAACAACCACCTTAAGTAAAAGCAAATCTACTTCTCCAGAGTGTTCAAAATCGTAAGGCAGGTGTTGCGATTGCCAAGCCTGCTGCCGACTGTTGCAAGTGTTCAGTCTGCAGACCTACCAAAAGACGCAAGCTGTGTAAAATAATAAAGCTGAGACTGTTTTGCAATCAAAGTTTGTATATGCGGAAATGATTTTCGGATCCAGTCATGTGCGCTTAGGGAAGCCAACCGTTAAGGCATCTACATTCTCATCCCCTCAACTGCAATTACCCTAGCAGCATTTTAGAAAATGCTTGCTGTGACAATCTGCACCCTGTGGCATGAACTTTGTTGTTCCCAACTTTTTTTTCCTTTGACCCATTGTTAATGCTGAGGACCTTTATGATGATTGGAGAATCCACAGTATCTGCTCATCCAATTAGCCTATCAATCCGCTTGACGTGCGGTGGGTGCGTGTGTGTGTGTGTGACCTTCGAGGCACTTGGCAAACATTTATAAGGCTCAAACTCAACACGTATTGTCATACACCATTTTTTTTAACTTCATTTGTCCCAATGAACACCAAGGTTGCTCATATTTTTGCCGCTCTCCTTACAGCCCTTCTTCTCCTCATTCCCGTTGGCTTTCATGGCTTTGATTGCTCTGGCTACATTTTCAGCGCCGAATGTGGAGGCATAAGTTACTTGCAAATTCTCGGAAAGCTAACATTAACTGCAGGTGTCTTTGCATGTATGGCTGCTCTTTTTATTGCCATCTCCATATCTTGTCACACCAAATGGCTTAATCGTGTAATCATTTCGGTTGTCTCTCTATCCACCATCTTTTCTGCAACAACAATTTTCCTCTACTACACCAATACCAAGGCCTGGTCTCCATTCATGGCATCAATGGCAATGACCATCTCTATTGTCCACACAGCAATCCTGCTCATTGACTTCCTCTCCAATCTCATCAAGTCCAGCTGATATCCACCTCGCCTAGTAGTTGAGCCCCGATTTACTGTCGTTCACTTGTAAATGTACTTTGCCTTAATAGACTCCTGTGGGTTGCATCTCATTATGCCTTATTATCTCCCCTCAGTGCCCTTTACTCATAGATGGGTGCATAATCGGCTGTGTTGGTTTTAGGTTGAGGAAAATAGCATGTCCCTGTTCACAATGAGTGTTTGTCAAATTTTTATGCAAGCCTCCAGACAAGTCTTCTTGGACAGCTCTTGGGTAAAGCTGGTGCGAAGGCGGAGCCTGATTTTGCTTCCCATGCTTAAAGTTAACGAAGGGCCATGGATGGCGGGTTGGTGAATGCTAAGCTGTCCACTGACTACGAAGTGAGGATTGAGCTGAACTAGCAACTTGGGGAGTTCGAACAGGGAGGACAAAACGTAAAGAGATGCAACACCAAAAAAACCAAGAAGTACAGTAGTAAAATTGTCTTTGCAATGGGAACATGGAAGGACAAAGAAGTGATGGTAGGAGATACCGGATACGATTAAGGTTGTATACACCGGAGTAGAAAATAAGGAGACTTTGAAGAGTGAGGGATCGAATGTCATCAACACCATCAGGGCAGCAAACAAAGCACTAAAGCTGAATATTTTCCTTCCATATACTCTGCGTTTGTACTAGAGGGAACACAAAGATTACGACGACACTCTTAGGAATCATTGTCAAGATTGGGAGACTAACATACTATTTCCTCTCCACTTGGAGATTGAGTGAATGGAAGGAAGGTGAAGGAGTTATACAAGCAGCGGT